ACACAATGGATTTCTTTAATATATAATATTGACTATTCTTGTAAATTCGGTAAAGGACCAAAAGCTGCTACATTAAGGTAAGACTACAAATACCATATCTACTCAAATGTGTTTTAGATATTAAATATTGCGTTATAATAACAAACTTATTTTTCGTCATTTAGACATGCCCATCATGCATATATCTAAACATGGAAATTGATTGCAATAGATTTTTCAGAATAAATTATTCTGGGATAAAAATCAGAGGCAAACAAAAGTTACTGTGGAGTAGCTTGTTCCATAATAAAAATTCTGGTCACTTTCCAGGTACGGAGAAAAACTGAGGGCACCTATACACATGCTCTGGGGTGGGGGTGGGGGGTGGCTCTCGGGAGTCACTCTAATTAAAATGCCCACAATGTCTTGTGCATTCAGTGTCCCATCTTTCAAAATGGTGGTGTGGGGGGGAGCTTTAACTAAAACTCATTCCATAAGCTTTAGTTAAAGCATCCCTGCCACCATGTTGAAACAAAGGGGTTGCTAAATCCACAAGATGTTGCAGAACACTGGATTCCATTAATTGAGTCTGCTCCAATGCGTTCTAATCAGAGCGTGTCAGAGCACGTGTAAAAATGCCCTTAGTTCTCAGCCTTTCAAGCCCTTTTGAAGACAAACAGAAATGATACAGCTGTTACCAGGAATTAGTTCTGTCACTGAGTGCTGAATTTAAGTTGTAACATGAACAGAGACAATTCTGCTCTCCATTTGAATTTGAACACAAATTTTCTACATTTTTTTTAACAAAAAGCTTCCATTCTTTATTTTAATAGCTGGCATTCTAAGTTTATTTGTTCATTTTGCTGTAAACCAGTTTGGAAGGGACCTACCAGTGACATTTCCAAATCAATTAATTAGATACTGCTGGTGGCTTTAGGATCTCAGCCAGTGCCTTTCAAAAGACTTCCACCGTTGACTTGAGAAGATTTGGGTCATGTTGTACAGGCAACTGCAGCAACCTGACTTTTCTTTTTGTTCTGTTTCATTTTCTGGTTTTTCATTTAGCTGTAATTCATGCACAGTCTTGGATTTAGAACACTTTTATTGTTTCTTTTACATGATATGTAAGTGTGTGGCCCTGATTTTAAAAGTTGCAAAGGCAACCTCAAGTCTGACACTTCCTAGCCTTTGGCTTAGTAGCTGTAGCAATGTTCTTTTTAATATAGCTTCTTGTATGTAAGTATTATCATAATTCAAAGTACTGCATGTTGAAGTAAACAATTCAACTGAGGTCTAAATACTACACTGATATATTATTCAGTATCTCCATGGAAGTTGTTTCACATAGAAATGCGTGGTACAATGAGCAGAGATGGGGAGATTCAGGTTTCTGAGGAGATATAATATTGTGTGAAACCTAGTGCAGAGGAATGAGAACTGATGGCTACAGCTGCACCGGAAAAGTACAAGCCTCTCCACATGTAACACTGGCCTCTATACATGTTCAATAAAGTTCTTTTTAACAGCTCAGCCTGCCTGCTGTTCAATTATTGCGAATGAAACAAAGTGTATACAACATTCAAACTGAATGGGATAAAGCATATTTTATTGATGTTACTTTGTCAGTGTTCCTTTTGTCCTCAATATCCCATTTCCCCACCCCCTATAAGTACATTAACTTCTCTAGCAGCACTACAAAGTGTTAGGTCTGAAAATCACTGTGACAAAGATTCAATGCAAGCTTCATTTCTACTAAAGAAAAGACCTGTCAGAATTTATTTATGGTGAATTGATAAAAAACAAAGAAAAGGGTCAGAAACAAATCCTCCTATTACAGTGATTTGGCTGGCTGCTTACTAAATGGCTTGCAGGTGTTTCTCACTCAAATGTCAGGTAACCTAAAATGAGCATTAAGTTTGTGTCTTCAACAAAGCATAGCATGTCAATTGGGAATGGATATACCATTTTAAAACTTAGCTGTGAATAACTTGTCATCTCTTGCTTTTATGGGTTCTATTAATTAAAAACGATCATTAGCTTTTTGTTTAACTGCCTGATGATGGATATCTCATTCTGCTCCGTTTGCCAACAGTAAAATCTGCCAATTCACGGAACATCTTTTCCCCCCAACATTGTCCAAACCACAGTGAGATAAAGCTGATGAGGAATGGAAACTCTGTTTAACTTAGTAGACTTCCCAGAAGCTCTTTTATGGCTTCTAGAAAATTTTTCTATTTAAAAAAAAAAAAATGTATCTATGTGTAGAAGTAACAGCGATGCCGGTTCCCACCTGCATAATAAGCATTCCTAACTGCCCTAAATATTTCTTTTTTGTTCCTGGCATCCTTCACATACCAATGGAAAAGGGCTCTCCCTCTCCTCAGATCAAGGGCACTAAGTTTCCAACACGATAAGTGTTAATGAAAGTTCAGGAATGGCAGAACTAAGCCAATCAGTTTTGCTTTCATGCTGAAACATGACGATTTACAGACTTCTCTCTTCATTTAAGATTGACTATTTTAAGTGATTTTCTCACACAGTTTAAAAATAACTGTGAATAGATATTTCAATTCTATGACTATGTCTATTAATCCATCAAAACACTTTATTTTAGGCTCTAAAAATAATTGACATTAAGATAAATGCATGTTACTTTAATGTGATATTTTTATTGGACTTCCGTAGAAGTATAAACAGTGTTAGATCAGAATATGTCATTTCTTCAGCAGTTACAAAAATAACTTTGAAACTGGCATCAGTCATTTTGTATGTACTCTTTTATAGCCCAAATACCTTAAAGGGTATCTTTACCTAAAGGAGACAAACATAACGAAAGGGCTTTTTGGCACAAAGCTATTTTTATGTGGGTAGAAAAATGCAAATGTGTCTTATTATCTGCTTTGTTCAGTGTTATCCATGATGAGTGAAGGTATAGCTTACAACTTTTTATGATTTATGGAAGCAATCTTCTTTTTCCTCAGTCTACCATCTGTGACACCCTCTACTGCTTATGTGCTTTTAAACATACGTTGAGGCAACTGTATCACTTATATTCCCTTTGTTCCCTCTTTCTTTTCACTTCAGCACCAAAAATAAGGGATCATTATGGATCTTTTCAGGCACATTGTGTCCATGTTTGCAGCTCTAATTTATTTTTATTCATCCATCAGAGTTTGCTGAGTAAAAAAAATAAATAAGGGCCTCGGGAAGGAGCCCAGCGGTTCAAGATTAACTGATAATTGTCTGGATAGTAGTTTGATGTGGTTTATATTTTTTGTTTTGAATGAAGATTGAGGCAGAGAATTTTTCATTGTTTTATTATTTTATTGCTGTTGTTTATTGCTCCCAATTCCTACTTGCACTTAGCTAACACTAGAAGATGTATTTGGGTCATAATTCTTTAAACCGTTGTTTGCCGTTTTGATGAAAAAAGCAAGCCATTAAAATATCTCCCTGTAAGTTCATGTAATGTAGTTTTATTTGCAACCTGCTGCTAAAGGCACGGTATAAGGTTGTCAGGTCTATGCTGAACAAAACGCTGCTGACTCTGATGTGGAATTGCTGAAAAAAGCTGCAGGGGTTTTGCATCACTCTTT